CAACTGAATTCTTACATAACGCCAGAACACTGGGTCACTGTGACTTTAGTTTTATTGTTATTTTTAACTGTATCTCAGTGAATGTGTCATCCATTACTTTGCGTTTAAAGCACTTGTTTCAGTAAAAATAAATGGAACTTCCTAAGATCCAAGTGTTTGTGTAGATATAAAAGTCCTTGTGGAGTAAGCTAAAGTAAAACCAAAATGTAGGGTTTTCACATGACTTTGTACAATTGACACATGGAAAGGACATTACTTGTTCAATTTAGCTCGACATTGGAGTTGCCAATAAATATGTCTTCCTGGATTATTTTTCAGTCAGTGATGATACTCTATGGCAGAGTACATGCTATGACTGTATATCAAGATTGATTCTGATCATGTTGTACCCTGAAGATCACGGCACAGTATGAGAAAGGCATTAAAAAAAAAAAGTAACTGCGGTTTTCAAAAGTCCTTCTTAGGATATCTATTGGCCTTCAGAACAGCTGGCATCTTCCTACCTCTTACCCAGGAAAATTATCTGAGTGTCTTCACCATTTATAGATAACAGACTAGGTTCTCCTTCCTCGCCATCTGTCAGTAGTCTGAAGAATCAGCCTCAACTGAATCGCTGCCTCTCAATTTCATGCAGACGACAAGCATTCGGTCAGAAACCGTTTTTTGCAAAGCAAAAGCACTCTTCAAAGACAGAATTGGGTCTGTCTGTGTGAGTGGAAAAGACCCTGTGGATTATGGATCATGGATTAAGTAGAGTTTTCTATTCCTGGTCCCAGATGTACTCCGCCAGGAGCAGGTCTGAGGCTGCCCCTCACTGATTGTCTTATTAAAGTGGAGGAATGCTTATTTGATTGTTCGTAAGAGGACACAGGCTTCTCGGGAATGGGGTGATGCGCCTTCTGTTTTCTTTGTGGTTGTGTGTGCCTCTTACTATTTTGACAGAATAACTGACTCCCTTTTGTTTTGGTTCCTTGTTGTTCTCACACCTGATGGTATTTGGTCTATCGTGGTCTCAGGCTCAGCTCCCTGTCTCCTTTCCCCTAAGCTGTCCCTATTAGTTTTAATCATGCCGTTGGTTAAAGGCAGGTGATATGTGAGCGATGACAATCCCTGAAACAGAAGCCAAAAGACAGATGTCAACAATTCAAGATGGGGAAATGTTTATGAAGAGCGAAGAAACTCTGTCTGCCAAAAACAGTAAAACTGTTTCAAAGGGTCAAATCTGAACTTTGGAACTTTCTCTGCCCCACAAGCATATATTGGAGGACTGAAATCCGCATTTCCCTTCATATTCTCCTTGAAACCCTATGCTTTTCTCCGTAGAGGAAACAAGAATCTTAACCAGATTCCAAACGCCAGAGAATCCATTGAACACCAAGATATCAATCAGCGAGATTCCACTACGTTTCCGCACGGAACCATTTTTCTAATGCACCAAACCAGCACACAAATACAGAAAGCGGAAGTTTCATTTCCCATTGCGCTTTCTTCTACTCCAGCGACAGGTACGTGTGGTCTCCATCTCCCGTCGGCTGGTTCCACCCCACCACCCGCAGGTGCCCCGCAGACTCATATTAAGGTCCGAGTGCGCTGCTCCCTGTCTCCCGCCCGGCCCCGTCTCTTCTTCGCCATCCTGGAGACTAAAGGTCAGAGGTAGGAGGGCAGCAGATGTCGTTAGGTCCTCTGGTGACGTGGTGTGCGTCCCCGGGTGACGTGGTGTGCGTCCTTACGGAGCAAAGTGCTCTTCATGTTTCTTAGAGTCAGAGGACCCGGGTCAGTGAGTGTGGAATCCCCATTATCCGGTTACCGTCCTCCCTTATATTCCCGGCTCAGGTTGGGTGTGTTTTCCTGTTTGTTACTTAGGCCTTTCCCCTGGGGCACGTCCACTGACTCCGCCCATCTATCGTCATTTCTGGTCTCACGTGGAGCCGGGAGAGGCGCACAGTCAGCGACTCCGCTCCACAAAGGACCAGGATTGGAGGCGCGGATGGCCACTGTGCGTCTGTTCCCAACGTGCCCCGAGCTCCGCGTCCACTCCCGTCCCTCGGTCTGAATCCGCGGAACTCCGGGTCCTGTCGGGGACCTGCTCTTAGACTTCCCGAAGGTGGAGCGCGGGAATGGTGAGTCCATGGGCGTCCTGGGATCACCACTGCACCACTGCCCTCCGGGTTGGCGGTTCAAGCCCACCAGCCGCTCCTAAGAAACCTGATGTAGGATCGATATAGGTGGGACCGACTCGGTGACACATGGAAATATAAGGGTGTGATGAGTCCGAATTCACTGGAACGTGATGGGTTTTGGATTGTAGATAACTGGAGTGTCCGTCCTCTTTAGTGGGGAAATCTGGACGTGAATCCTTGTGGGGTCAGCTCTGTGCTGAAGGACTGCCTTTCTTGCACTGTCTCGGAGTTGTTAGGGCCTCCCCTGCCCCACCTAGTGCTTCCTGATTGTGGAGGATCCGGTTGGTCTATGGAAGGAGATAGAATGGCTTATTCACAACAGGAATGTGATCTGATCATCTCTTTCATTTCTGGTGTATTTTATAATTGTTGTAGACCATACACAGAGAGGGATAGATTGCTGTCTGTCGTTAACAGTAAAATTTTGGACAGTCTTATTTCAAGGTGTGCAGACTTTTTGTGAAAAGATGCAGTCAGTGAGTTAGTGAATGTCTTCATTGAAAGGGGGAAGTCAATTGGTATTCTTTGAGCAGATCTTGTGAGAGCACAGAACCTGGTGTTATGTACCTGTGGTAAGGTCCCAGGAATGGCAGCCTCACCTTTTCTTTTTAGATATGTTGTAGTCTGTGCTGTTTTGCTGACCCAGAATGTATGGGATGTTTTAGGGTACAGTGACCATTGAAGATGTGGCTGTGGTCTTCACCCACAAAGAGTGGGATTTGCTGGATCCTGCTCAGAGGAAATTCTACAGAGACGTGATGATGGAAACCTTGAGAAACCTGGCTTCAGTCGGTATGAATGACATCTTCGTTTTTCCTTTTTTTTTTTTTAATTCCTTTTGTGAGTAAAAATATTTTAATCATCAGCTGTGGTTGATTATATGGAATGAGCAACGAGAATACCCTATAAAGCAAAAGGCATGGTCACCTTCTATATAGAGCTCATGCATCCAGGATTCCCCTATTGCAAAGCTCTATGCACTAAGCTGAGCTTTCATTTCTCTTGTGAATAAAAAAAGCCTTTGGCCTCTCTAAGTGCCAACAGCATAGCATTGACTTCAGGGGACACTTTTATGCACTGAGAGACTTGTCCTGTGGGTGCCTTTTTGAGAGTTTTATTGGGTTTGTGACAAGTTTGATGTCATGATTTTGATGTAAATGAACTCACACTTGTCAATCATCAGAGCTTTTACAGAACAAAGTACTATCTCAGTGACAAGGAATCTTTCATTGGTCATCACAGTCTTATTTTCGATGTACATTTCTCCATGAGCCCCATGTTGTTGTGAACTGCCATCACATTGGTTTCAGTGTTGATGGAACCTGTGTACATTTTCCTAGAGGCGACTGGGGGATTTATCCTACACCACCACACTGGGTCTCCTGAGCTCCGTGTTAGCTCTACCCATTTGTTTTCTCAGAGAAGCTAAGGAAAAATCTGAGGAGACTGGAAATAAGAGTCACTGAGGCCCATGTGTCAGGAAGCCCGAGGAAATATAATTTTAGCCCACGAATGAAGGAAATCAGTCAGCTTCAAAAAGTTTCTTTTGACTTGCAGACCCAGCTTCAAAGATACCTGAACTTATTCTGTTGATTTTAGTTGTCCTTTTGCACCTGTGGACTCAGGGACCCTTTGCCTTTGTAATGTTACATTTGTGGTATGTCTAATTCTTTTCTACTTAGCTCTCCTAATGATACCTGTGTATGGTACTGTCCCTCTCCATTCTGATAGAAGTATTTCCTAGTATGTTGCATTTTAAGACTTGTCAAAGTGCTGGAATAGCAAAATGGGGCTGAGTCTTTTTTACTAGGAACCTCTGTTTCCTCTAATCATTCCCATTTGATTCTAATTATGGAGTCTAACCTGAATGTTTGGATCAGTGGCTGGAAACATCAATGATGGAGAAAAGTTACCCAGTGAGCATTTAATTATAAGACATCTGAAGAGTAACACCTGGTTATTATGCATCACAGGTGCAATCAAGAAATCACATGACTGGAAGGATCACCTTGACAACCAGTGTAGACATTTGAGGTGAGTGTGATTCAAACAACAGAAATTAGTGCTTCACAAAATCTCAGGAGGTGTCATAACATCAAAATACACTGAAGTGAGGGGGCTCCAAATAGTTCATGGAGAACTCTATCATCTTTCAATTGCATCATTCTGTGAACAATTTTAATTGAGTAATTGCTGGACAAACGAAGGTTGCATATGCATTTCCCAACAGTGAAATCTCTTTCCTTTTAAATTGAGTCAATTAAGAAACTGTCAGTAGTGTTCCATTCAGATATGGTGGCAGGCTGCACAGCTCTAAATATTTGTTGATCTCCAGAGTCCTACAATATATCCGGTGTGTGATGTAAGACTCTTGGTATCCGTGCAGGTGTTTGGGGTTGCAGGAGTGTGTAGAGCAACACGTTCATATTGGTGGTTTGCTCACCATCCTTGAATGCAGTACCAGTGATTGTTTCTTCACCAAATCAAATTCTGTTAAAACAACAGTTTTGATTGCTTTGCAGTCTGGACACTTCTCTCATTTATGTTGGAAATTGCTGAGTCCTTCCAAAGTAGTTTGAATCCCTGAAGCCCACTGATATATATGTGTTGTGTTTGCCGAGTCAATTGTGACTTTTAACAACCCTTTGTTGACTTTCCAAGGAGTAGCTGTTGTTACATGCCGTGAAGTCGTTCCACTTTGTGGTTCAAATCTAGCTTGCCTCCTAGTGTTAATCCTTCATCAGGACCCATGTATATATGTATAATCCTGGCTATAAAATGATGGGAGTATAAGTCAGCGAAATATGTAAATCATGTTTCACTTGGACACAATGAGCAGGAAGAGTTGCACATTGATGGAAATGGTAGTCGTCATCCTAGATGATTCTTGAGACAATTCAGGGAAAAACATACATGTTCACTGTGTTTGGTAATGCTGTCATGCGACATTTATTTCCAACAAGATAAATGACTATATTATCTTGTCTCCTTACTGACCTTGGAGTAGTTTGCAGAGGACACCATTGTTTTATATTTACACTACCTGTTTTTAACAGAACTGGTACAATCGAAAACCTGTGTGAACGTTCTGAAGGCAACCAGTGTGGGGAAACCTCCAGCCCGATTCCTGGTCTTTCTGTGCACCAAGTAGATTCCACAGAAGTAGATCCTTTTGAATGCTGTGAGTATGGAGGAGCCTTCCTGGATCATTCCCTAGAGAACAATCGTAGTAGAGCTCACACTGGAAGCAGTACATATCAGTGTCCAGACTGTGGAGAAGATTACAGATGTCCTTCTCACCTGACCATGCCTGTGAGAACTCATAATGGGAAAAATACCCATAAATGTAAGATATGTGGGAAAGGCTTCCTTTGTATGTCGACGACTCTCAAGAATCCTGTCTCAGCAATCACCAGTATTGAAGGGTATGAATTCAGGAAATGGATGGAAATTTTCTGTAGTTTCTCACCAGTTAGGACACCTTTGGAAGGTCATCAATCCAAATGTAAAGAATGTTTTAGAATGCATACTAGTCCTTTAAACAATAACTCTCATAAGCGAGAGAAGCCTTCTGAATGTAAGAAAGCAATTCCTGAGGCTTCCTCCCTCACTCAACATGTAAGTAGTCACTGTAGAGAGATGCCTTATGAAAGTAAAGAGTGTGGGAAAACTTTTACAGATTCATCAGACCTGAGTGCACATAGAAGAATCCACAGTGGAGAGAGGCCCTATAAATATATGGAGTGTGGGAAACCCTCTGGTGAGGCATCACTCCTCCCTGGACATATAGGAACTCACAGCAGACAGAGGACTTTTGAATGTAAAGATTGTGGGAAAGCTTTTAGGGATTCCTCACAGCACAGTCAACATTTGCAAAC